TGAAACCCCCCTGAAGTGCACAAATAATGCGGCAAAAAAAAAAAACCCACAATCCTGTGGCTGCAACCTCTGATCTTCTTTCCCTTTTTATTTTTCCTGTCACTGCTAGTTTTGCTGCGTCTTTCATACATTTAAAAGCTGAAAACCTTCCTTTCCGTTTTCTTTTTTTCCATCTAGCGCCTACTGCATGTAGATGTTAAACAAATAAAATATGAACAAGCAAACAAGCATGCTCAGATCTGGAGAAAAACAGTTTATTATGGGCGATCCCATTCTTGAAAATTGGCTTTTATCTACATGGAAAAATCCTTGCAGGCTGTTTTTCAGGCCAAGCCTTGCTGCAGTTGGTTTTACATGGGCATTCTGGAAGCTTTATTTGGAACATGCTGATAATAGGAGATACAAGTTTGGTTACAGTTCATAAATAGCAAAGTCCATTCAGCACTCAAGTTGGTTAGTCTGTTAGTTCTATCTCCAGATAGTCCAGAAGTCAAGTCTTCTAATAACCTGGACGAGAATTTAACACTATGTTCTAGCTTTGTGCATAGCAGAGGCGAGGGTACAAAGGGACTACTGGAATTCCAGAGGGAAGCTGTAACTCACACCATCTACCTTTCCATTGTCAGCCTGTAAGTCTGGATTCCCCTTCGCTAAGATCTCTAAGACTACACAAATCTTTGAATTCTTAGGCTACAACATATATTTGTAGAGCCAAAGAAAATCAGTCAATTCTATTGACAAATTAAAGATGCTTTTTAAGAATTAAGATGCAAGTGATTCAACAAGTATTATAAATCCAGTGTTCTCAACAGTGCTGGAATGAAGCAATTAGGGTTTTCTGGAAGGTCAGGATGCAGATTTTTTATTTTTTTAATAAATTTCAGTTCAACAGTTGTGGCTCGTTTCTAATCTCCAGACCATGGATTTGCATCTATGCATGCCTTAGAAAATATACTCCCGGGCATGCATGTGCAAGTACAGTCATGGATTTTTGAGATACCTGCCAATATGCATTTGAGCATTTGAAATTAGCTTTGAGCCTTTAGTCTCTTTCAAGTGCTTAAATAACTGCCTCTTCAGGCCCGAGACAAACTGGTCTCAAGAAGTAGCTGGAGAAGCATTTTAAAATGCATCTTCTGAATTCTGTTTCTGGATGGGCAAATGCTCTGCAGGTGTCTTCTTGTTCAGCTTGAACAAGAGAATCTTCCATTCCTTCATTGAACACCAGGGCTTGTCTTTAAATCTTCCTAATCTTACGCTGTTTTTAAGGTGGCCCTCATCTGACACTCTTGTCTGGAAAAAACACTGACAAAAGAATCAGAAGATAATCAAAATGTTTGAAACAGCTCGGGACTGTATACGTAGCTATTTTCTTCCCACAAGGGAATGAAAATATTCAAAGGGCTTTCAATAGTCTTCTAAGCATCCTTTCTTATTTGGTCTTTGTTTAACTTTAGTCTTCTTCATCACCACGGCTGGCTTGGTCTTTTGATGGGCCATTACCATGACATTGCACCTTGCATTCCATCTTGGTTTAGCATTCAGCCACACAACCCAACTCTGAGCTCTATGCCCTTGCTGGCTTCTGCCCACACAGTGCTTTCAGTTGTTCCAGGAATCGGAAGTTGTGCTGCCATGCCCTGGTTTCCATTGTCAGGACAGATAAAAAAAATGCATTCTGAAAGATGAGAACAAGAGAAATTCCGGGAGGTTGCTCTATCAACTTGGGAGTTTTCATGCAGTTGCTGAAACCTGTTAGCCCAGTGAGGAACGGTGTTCTTAGGGCAGTTAATTAAGACATTTATCTCTTCCCTCCCAAACAGTACATTTCAATCTGTTTAATTCTCACAGGAAGTCAAAACTAAAGTCAGGGAAGAGCCATATTGTAGAACACCTGTAATGTTCTCGAAGGAAGTTCTCCATTTCCAGTTTGCTCTGTGTGCTGCTGTATGGAGAGGTTTGGAAACCTGAGAGAGAGACAGATTGAAGATCTTTGCAGGAAAATACAAATCATGCAACCATTTTAATACTCAATTTTCAAAGCCTGGGTTTTTTAACAAAGAAAATAAGGTATTTTGGGAGTATTTGCTCCTGGGACTTTTGTTTTTTGGAGTGCTGCTGTAGGTACTCCGGAGTTGTGGGTGCCTTTTTATCTCCCCGTGATGCACATAGCAAAGCTCTGGGGAGCTCCTTGACACATGATGTCTGTGTGACACTTTACATATGTCAGCAGAACAAGCAGCAACCCAGCTTATGGGACATAGAAGTGTGTCAGGGCATGCACTCTGTGAGGGGATGAAGGCATCTAACTTTAATTTTCAAGATATCTCCTGTTATCGTTTCAGCATCCCATTGAACATTTTATTTTTTGCAAACTAAGTAAAGCTGTCCAAAGAGTCTCCAAAAAAAAGATGAAATCAGGAAGCTTTGATTCTTATTGGAAGAGATACTTTCCGCTCAAGACTTTAAAGTACTCATTCGCAGCTGGCACGCCTAAGCTTTGGACAGAGCTTTCCCACTTTCTCAAGTAACTATGCAAAAGTGACTGCTTAATCTTGTCTTCTGAAGTCTAATCAGGACAGGGTACGTTTTGGATAGGAATCATTCCAAACCCGGATTTTTTT